ATCAGTTCTCAATATAGACATAGGTCTGAAACAAGAAAGAAGTAATAGGATTGAATCAGGGTAACAAAGGAAGAGGTGTCACCATACAACAGTGAACATTCTTCCAGAGAATGGGATGCTATTTCTGATTTTTCCACTGAGGTCCTGCATGGCCCTGGACAGATCAGGTACACCAAAGCTTTCACAGGCTGTCACTGAGTTACGCATTTTCCATCTGCCTGACTTGGGAGCTCTGATTTGTAAAAGCGCAGAGAAATCACAGCTGATGCTGGAGTGTCTGCAATTTGTATTTTGAACAGATATATTAAACACATCTGATTAATCCATGGCTTAGAGGCTGATGCCACCAACATAATTTTGGGTTTTTTGATCATGAGGAGGTTTACATGGCAACAGGTCTTCTGGCAACAGATGAGGTACAGCTGTCTCAGAGGTGAAAAAGGATCCTTGCGCATGGATTGGCAGGGCTCATAGAAAGGGCTTTTAACTAGATTCAAAGAGGGGAGGGGATGGGACTGGGCTGGCCAGAGAGGAGCCATGCGCAGCATGCCGGTGCTTGTGGGACAGTGTGCTGGGAAGGCCATTTAATCTGCTGTCTCAGCTGAGGTGGGGGATGGGGATGCATCCACCTGGGGAATAAATCAGGTCAACCAGGCTTGGCACCAAGGGTCCTTAGCTACCACCAAAGATAATAACGACAAGGCAGACCATCCTGGGACTGTGTATGACAATGGTATATCCACCTGCTCTCCTCCAGGAAAACCTGCATGTTTGGCCACCCCTCCAAAATAGCTATACACTAACGCATGCAGGATGGGGAACAAGCAAGAGGAGCTAGAGATCTGTGTGAGGTCTCAGGACCATGATCTCATCACAATTACTGAGACATGGTGGGACAGCTCACATGACTGGAACGCTGTCATGGATGACTATGTCCTTCTTTGGAAAGGTAAGTCAGCAAGATGAGGTGGTGAAGTTGTTCTTTATGTGCGAGAGCAACTGGAATGTATCGAGCTCTCCCTGGGGGTGGATGAAGAGCGAGTTGAATGCTTGTGGGTAAGGATCAAGGGCAGACTAATATGGGAGACACTGTTGTGGGTGTTTACTGTAGGCCACCTGATCAGGATGAGGAAGCTGATGAGGCCTTCTACAGGCAGCTGGAAGTAGCCTCACAATCACAGGCTCTAGTTGTCACAGGGGACTTCAATTACCCTGACATTCACTGGAAAAGGTACACAGCCAGGCGTGCGCAGTCCAGGAGGTTCCTCCAGTGCACTGACTAACTTCTTGACACAGACGGTGGAAGGGCTGACAAGGAGAGGAGTAGTGCTGGACCTTGTACTGATGAACAAGGAAGGACTTGTCAAGGATGTGAAGGTAGGGGGCAACCTTGGATGCAGTGACCATGAGATGGTGGAGTTCAGGATCATATGCAGCAGGCACAGAGCCACAAGCAGGATCAATGCCTTAGATTTCAGAAGGGCCAACTTCGGCCTCTTAAGGACCTGCTTGGACAAGTCCTGGGATAGGGCTCTAGGTGGTAGGGGGGCCCAAGAGAGCTGGTTAATATTCAAGCATCATTTCCTCCAAGCTCAAGACCACAGCATCCTGAAGAGTAAGAAATCAAGTAAGAGTGCTAGGAGAACTGCATGGATGAGCAGGGAGCAGTGCATAAACTTCAGCAGAATAAGGAAGTATATAGGACATGGAAGAAGGGGCTGACCACTTGGGAGGAAAACAGAATGTTGTCAGAGCATGCAGGGATGCAATAAGGAAAGCTAAGGCCACCTTAGAACTAAACCTGGCAAGGGAGGTCAAGGACAAAAAGAAAGAGTTTTTCAAGTACATTGGAGAACAAAAGAAAACCAGAGGAAATGTGGGCCAACTGCTGATTGAAGTGGGTGCCCTGGTGACCGAGGATATGGAGAAGGCAGAGTTACCGAATGCCACCTTTGTCTCGGTCTTTACTGCTAAGACCAGCCCTCAGGAGCCCCAGAGCTTGAAAACCACAGAGGAAGTCATGAGCGGGGAAAAAAAAAAAAAAAAAAAAAAAAAAAAAGGATTTGCC